CAATTATGTATTCGCCATCATTCCCAACGTTTCTCGTTGAAAAAGGTGTCTAGGTGGTTTTTGACGTCTTCCACATTTTTGAATTTTTTTCCATTCAAATTGTTCTGCAGCGATCGAAACAAATGATAATCAGAAGGTGCAATGTCGGGTGAATATGGGGGATGCGGCATGATTTCCCAATTCATCTCCTTCAGTTTGGCCAGGGTCGGTTTTGCAACATGTGGCCTGGCGTTGTCATGATGGAAAAGAACTCCTTTGCGATTGGCCAAAGTCGGACGTTTCTCATCAATTGCTTTCTTCAATTCGACCAATTGCTGACAATACTTGTTGACAGTGATCGTTTCTCCAACTGGCAAGAGCTCAAAATAGATCACGCCTTGGATATCCCACCAAATGCACAGCAGTACCTTCATCGGATGAAATCCACCTTTCGACATCGGTTCCGCCCCTTCGCCCCTGTTTCCATGTTCTTTTGCATTGAACATTGTTGTACAGGATTCATTTTTCATCACCAGTCACGAGCCGATCCAAAAAAGGTTCGTTTTTGATCCGTCGAAGCAAAGAAATTGCTGTTGACATACGGTCCACTTTGTTTTTTTCACTCAACTGATGTGGCACCCATGTATCGAGCATCAAAGTGTGCCCAACCTTTTTTAAAGGACGACACGCAGTTGATTTGTTGACGTTCAATTCACTGGCAACCTCTTCTGTCGAAAAACGTGAGTTATTCGCTACTAAAGTCCTTAGAACATCGTCATCATCCTTAGAAGGCCGTCCACTGCGAGGTTGATCTTCGAGGTTAAAATCTCCAGAACGAAATTTCGCGAACCATTTCTTTACTGTGCGGAGTGCTGGAGCACGGTCCAAATAAACTTCGCGAATATCTTTAGTTGCAGCGCCTACTGTTTTTCCTTTGCGCAATCCGTATAACATAATATGACGCATATGATCTTTTTCGTTGTCCATCTTCCATGCGTCTTTTCACTAAGCAACTCAAATCAAAATGAAGTTATTTTATGCTTGATTTACAGTTCGGACTGTCACCTTTCCAACGATATATAATATGTATATATTTCTTTCACGAGCGCCACTCTCAAACGATTCGAACGGCATCCAGCGGAATCGGGCACGAACTTATGCACTCATCCAATATATGTATAATATGTTTAAATAAAATTAGAAAACAAATAATGAAAATGCGTGCTTTAAAGGGCAAAAAGATCATTCAATTTAAAGAAGCATCGTTTTTAATTAGTTGTCATCAGCTGTAGTATGAAGCGCTTCAAGAGCCCTTACCACCATCACAATGCGAAATTGTTAATAAATAAGTTCGAATTCAATGTTACCCATATCCTTGACAACTGCCCTAACTCACAAGTAATTAGAAGTGGAATATTCAACAATTCTAAGCCATCTGATCATCTTAAACTCCCAAGTGACCGTAACATTAAACTAATTGCAAAATTTGTATCACTTTGTAAAATAAACATATAATTAAAAAAAAAAAAATTACCACATACAATACATAATATTATTGCTATTTCCTTATCTTGCTACTTTTTAATTATTATTTCCTCATGTAGAATAAATATTATTGATACATCCATAACTTTATATTGAATAATTATCTTACCTTAGTTTAATGTAAGCCGAAGGCCCTGGCAGCCAGTGCTTTAGTTTGTAAGTGGAATAATTATTTATAATTGTTTCTCTTTTAAATAAATAAATAAATAAATAAAAATAAGTTCGATATTAGCTAAAAAAAGAAACCCATTGTCCAAGTCGTCTCTTCGTATGAGGTGATAGCGGCCTTGTGGCCAAAGTTTAACTCACTTCGCACTAAAAAGCCCATCACAGAAAGTAAATTCTTCTCATGGCGAGTGGATGCCGTTTTCTTGCAAATTCTTACCAAATCTAAATGAGAGTACTGCAAGCGGTACACACGTACCAAATGTGGTGTCCTTAGCTTTACTAGATACCAATAATGATTATTTATGTAACTTTTTATGTATACCGGAGTGTGGGTGTGGCTAAAGTCTGGCTCTGAGATTTGTTTTAATTAGAATAATTAGCTCAACGAATACCCTTCACCCGCCCCAACCGACAGGAGGGGCGACATCCGCATAACATACGGAATATGCCGAGTCATGATTGGGAAGCGTTTGTCAAGCGTCGAGATTTAAAACTGTTCAGGTACAGAACAAATAATTATTCAACAGTTGAAATTTAGTATTTATGGATTTTTTATATTTTAATTGTTGAGAGTAGTAAGAAAAGTTTTTTAGATGCTAAAAAGTTAGTTTGAGAGATCAAATGTTCATTCAAATCCTAATTTGTTTTACCTAACTTTAACAGTAAAGACCTAAACACGAGTTGGAACATTAAAGTTTAGCTCAGGTAAGGGCCGTGAGCTACTAATTTATCCGTTAAGAAGTTTCAGTACGAACAATGCGCCTAACATTTCTCTCCGACTTGCGAGAGTAGGCAGATTTAGAAGTTTTAAGAGGTTATACAGGTCTTAAAGGCCAAAATAAGCTAATTTTTTCTATTTTTTTTTTAAGATACAAAATAAAGTATACAATTTATTTTTCTTACATATAAAGGTTCAATATGTGGACAACATTTGATGAAAATTTGAATGAAAAATAGTATAAGTTAAGGCGTTGGCAGTGTCGTGAAGTAGGCCATCCACAAGAAAGTACTTTCGCGGTAGTCATGATAACTTTTTCAATTTTTTCTGAAATCACAAATCCAAACTTCTTCGTAAAGAAGATGAATTTTCCTTGTCCCTGAACGAAGAAAAATAAAAAAAAATTAAAATTTATTTTTTTGTAGCGTTTTTTTTTTTTTAAAAAACCTAATTTTTTGCATAAAATTAGGCTTGTAAAATGAGTTGAAATCAAAGGTAAATTAAATCCTTTGTTCAGGGACTACAAAAACATGCTTAAAAGAAATGTGGACAATTTGAACTCGATCGCTTCAATAGTCGTTGAAAAGTTTTGACTACCGAATTCGATAAAGTGGTTTTAAGAAAAACGCGTTTGAAGTTTCGCCATCGGCCAAGCCATGACAAGGACGGCGGGTTGTAAAATTTTCTTATTTCTACAGTTTCGTCTCAATCGACATGAAACTTCAGGAAAATTATAAAAAAAATGAATTTTTTGAAGTTTCAAGATCTATGTAACCCATTAAACGGTTGGCATAGGGAGGTAGATTCATCGTAGAGTTCCATCGGAAATGTCTTAAAGCAAACAAATTTTTTTTGAACACACTATAACTTATCGGGGACTTATTGAGAATTGGGGTTCCATATCAGTGAACCCTATTCTAATATTGGGCTTACCAAAGTCGTTTAAAGTGCTTTATATAAGTGTCTTTAAATTCTTTTGACCATCAATGAGATCCCCAACGAAAAAATATCTACTCTTAGCAGATTATCAACTCTTTATTCAAGTAATCTGTTGCTTGGCTGAACGGACTGATAAACGAATAGAACAAAAAAAGGTTTAATCGATTCCGCATACCTCGTATACTGGTTTGTTAAAAAAATAAGGAATATTTTAATTTTTCTAAGTTAAAAATTGTACTTGGACCTCTTCAAAGCACCCTCGCTGATACAATACGGGTACACTTTCACCAGCATTTGCACTTCCAGAAGCAGTTCTGACATACCTTTTTCACAATGTCCTTATCCTGAACGTCTTTACTTTGGTTTTTATCTCTCCAATCGGTAAAAAAAAAATGTCGCTCTTATGGTTACCTTCGATCTCGGGAGCTGGAAAATCTCGTAGCGGTCGAATCAATTAAACTTGGTGCTTTAGTATGATGAGGACGTGATTTTTGTTCTAAACTAGTAATCTTTAAGTACCGAAGGGAGTGTATTTTTTGGACTCACCGTATGCCACTGTTTTTTTTTTTAGCACTTGGCTCTCATTTCGTATGCCTTTCATGTACATGAAATAGTTGGCATACTAACTTCGGTCCAAAGTACGTAAGTAACAAGAGCAAAAGAGGCAGAGACATCAAAATTTATGACATTATGATTATAATGGCGACTTGAGTGCACTGAGCCCAATTTGAACGGCCGATATCATCAGAAAAGCTGTGTATAAAAAAACAGTCAACAGAACATCTAAAAGGGGGAAATTTGGTTTCCAAAATTTGAGTAATTTGTTTATACAAAGTTTGATGGAAATTCTTTGATCTTTATTTTGTTTACCCAAACAGAAAATCGCCATGCACGCAAATTACGTCAAACAGCTGTCGTTATGAACATATCATATTATACAGACGAGTGTGCTTTCGAGTTGACGCTTCGGAACCGTTGAAGCAATTTTCACTAGAACTATTAAGAAACCAAAATTGTATATTATCTTGTATTTGATATTGGCGAGGGTTCGGGACCAAAATAATAGCTTGATTTTTCTCGATTCATCGTACCTCGTAATGGTTCTCCAAAAGTAGTACCTAAAGACTTGCTCTCATCGAGAATTACATAAATTGAAAATAAAGACCTCAAAAGGGATTATATGGGATCGTGTCAAAAAAGGAGCAGTTGATACATATTTCCAACCCAGGTCAGAAATCTACTACTATTTCACCTGAAAGCGAAGTAAAAAAGGGATTTTTCATTAATAATGTGTATGCTATGATGATATGAAAATAATTTTTTTTCTATCACACTCAGACAGATAGAAATTCTGATTATTTCGTTTGCGTATGTTTGTATGTTTTTCTCTTTGTCCTGAATGACTGACAGATCATCCCATAACCTAATCCACCGACCGTAGGAACCTGCGATCTAGATTGAGTGTTCCGTGTATGATGGGAAGGAATACAATAAGAAACGATTCTCCCACAAGGGATTCGGAATTCGAAAGTATGGAAGTTATTTTTAAATAGAAGTAAGCCATTTTGTGGTTTCAAAAATAAAATGATTTTCTTTTTTTTGTTATAAGGTATGAATCTTGGCATTATATGTGAAACCCTCGATCATTCCAATGACCGCCTCACGAAGTTTTGCCAACTCCGAACCGTTTGAGATAGTTTTCGACCACCTTTGGGCGGTAGATATCTCAGCCATAAATTGGCGTCACAAAAAAGAGTGGAACGGTGTCGAATCGAATGATCTCGTTGCCAAATTGACATCGAAAAGGCGAGAGATTACGCGTCCGGGAAAGGTCGAGTTTTTTCCGGCATTAAAATCACTTGTGTTGGATTTTGCCTTCATCTTGTTGACACCTCATACTGTCCTAGTCGTGTTCTTCAATTGTAGGCGAAAAAAATAGATTGTCATATACCATAAAGCACCGAATTGACAATAACCGTTTCAACGTTGTCGCTTTCAAAAAAGTAAAGTCTAATCACACATCCGGTTCAAAAGACTAAGCTTTTACAATGTGACAAGTCAGAAATTTAATTTCACAAAGTGGTCGTTCAGCCTAATTTCCATTAATTAAAATTCAATTTCCATGACATTTTTTATGCTAGCTATGATTGCTCTAAAAATTAAATTTCGATATTTTCCTCGTTGATATGCAAGTTGAAATAATCAATTATTTGCTGCGTTTGACGATATCTTAGAAAGAGAGATCACCGGTTTCGGTGAGACGAGGTGTGACAATGAAGTCATGAGACTGATTATTTTGTTTCGTGTTTAGTAAACGTGTGTTCGTGGTGTTCGCACGAAAATGGAAAAACGAAATCAAGAGCAATGCGTCGCGATAAAATTTTGCGCCAAATTGGGCGAAACGGCTTTGGAAACGTACGCTAAAATTGTAAAAGTGCATGGTGATAGTGTTCTTAGTCGTGCCCAGGTGTTTTTTTGTTGGTCGGGAGACCAGTCGAGGTGCGTGGAATCGTCCACAGAGAAAATCTTCCACTGAGGCAAACCGTAAATCAAGTCTACTATCGCCAAGTACTCGAAAGATTATGAAAACGAGTCAACTAGGTGTTTCCAGACATCGCTGGTAACTGGATCCTGCATCACGACAACGCACCGTGCCACACTGCCCTCAGCGTCTTCCAGTATTTGGCCGCTAAAGGGATCGCCGTGTAAGTCACCCTGTGACTTTTCTTTGTTTCCTAGTAGTAGTCCAAGTGAAAGCCAGATTGGCTTCAGTCTTGTGAATGAAGATTCCAGTTTGTTAAAAAAACACACACTTTTCGTTGCTGCACCCCGCAGCGCGCAAAACCTTCACAGCCTCTTTGCTCGGCTTATGCCGTCTTAACAAAATATCTATTGTTCTTTCACACATTCTGCATTCGCTTGTAGCTCTAATACTTTTAATTAATTAACTAAAATTCTAACAATGGCATATTGTTTCTTCCATTAAATAATCAAGACAATTTCAAGCAATAAAACAGCAATAAAACAGCAACAAAAACACTGTCAATGCAAAACAAACATCTTTTTAATGAATACAATTTAATTCTATTACCCACAAATTTCCAACACAAATAAACTTTCTTGACTTGCCGCACACAGTTTCACACATTCCACGCTCCCCAGACGTGTTCGTTCCACGTTGCAACAAAAAAATAAGAAAAAAGAAGATAAACTAAAACTAAAACAGTTATCACCAACAGTTTCGCCAACTAGTAATGGAGGAGGATAACAATTCCAGAGTAGAATTAAAATTGGGTTTATGAATTTTATACGGTCCACGGACCCCGTTCTGATTTGGAATTTTCCACCACAAGCAGAGCAGGTAGAGAGTCCGTAGAGAGTTCAATCTTTCTTTTCTTTTTTTGGCCACTTACATTGCCTTGCCATTACGTGTAGGAATGTATGAAGTATGGCTGTGTTTGGGGTGTGTATGGATTTAAGACGGCTGAAGCAATTTTCGGCCGAGATCCCCCTCCATTTGGTGGTGTGCGTCTTGATTTTACACTAAGCCGCCTCCGAACGGCTGATCTTATGAGGAATTTTTATTTCATTTCGCAAATACACTCGGCTCGAGTTTGACATTCTCTGACGAGGGGCGACATCAATTAGAAAAATTAATTCTTGGATATTGGTCGAACCAGGGCTTGAACCCTGGCTTACCGAGTGACATTACGCAATGCTAACCACTCGACTATCGGGGCAGTGAGTTACCGTTCGGTTCAATCCGTTCAATTTGTTCGAAAAAATATTTGATATTCTTCTTCTATCGAAAGTATAGAGTTAACAGCGTCGACTTTAAAAAAATCTGATTATCTTGCTACATGCAGATCTCTAGGCGGGCCGAAGTACAAATTTAACAGAAAAACCCCGAGAAAAACCAACTTCTTTTCATCTACCGGCGCCAATCTAAACGAACTCTAAACGAATTCATTCGATCCTCTCAGAGTTTCCACTGTGTGCACCGGAGGGCATATCACCAAACACTTTCACAGCTGTTTTCGTCCGACTGCACAACCTGAACATTTCAGCGTAGTCACTGTATTTGAAATTTCCTTAACTATCTTAATGCCGGACTTCAAAAACAAGAGTTAAGCCTATATTCATCAAAAGTGTGTCATTAATTTCCAGGTTGACTTTGTTAAGGCTGTTGTGTTGGTTCCAAGATAGAGTGACGAAGTTAGCCAAGATGGAAATAGGTTGAGAAAATATGAATACTTTGACGGCTCGAGCTCTGCACAGTTCCATAATTTGCAACGGTGTACCCTTGACGCAAATTATAAAGGAAATTCTGTTCACTCTCCCTGTGCCCACGAGTAATTACTTGCTTAGACGGAACTAAGTGAGGTCAGTCACGGCAGCCACTCCAGAAACTGCAAGATTGTGGAGGTTCCATGAAAAGTATGTGCATCTCTCGCTCTCTTTGCTTAAAATGATTAAGAGGCGAGCCTTGGAAAGTCTTGTATGACTTAAATCCGTAGAGGAAAAGGTGTAACTCCTTACCATATTTTTAGGATGTATTCTAGGTTTACCAGGCTCAGGCGCTTAATAATAAGAACCTTTGAATGCTTATCTTAAGCTTTCTGGAAAGATTTAAGAAAAAGAATTTAATTCAAATATATTAACCTCCTCTTTTCGTAAACTCAGTATGCATGCAGATGATTTTCTACTCTGCGGTTAAGATGCTGATGAAGTAATGTAATCAAAAAAGTGAACGAAGAAAAGAGAAACCAAGAAGACGCGACATGAAGTTGCACTAATTCCATCATTCGCTTATTTTCTCAATTAAACGTAGAATTTCTCCATCGTCAGCAGCAGGAGGAACCATAATGAATATGTGTATACATACATACTTTCGATGCATGCCCTACCATGCAGGAATAATCATAAGTTGTTAACTGGATTCGAACAAGTTTGCGCTTTGACACTAACCAGTGCATCTTCCATCATTTTCCCATATTAGCAACATACGAACTGCCAATTGTCTGACTATGCATCATCTTCATACTAATTAAATACTAGTTTTCATGCTTCAGTGGGTTTGCAAGGATAGCGGTTACAGCGAACAACGACGTACTACGCATTTCAACGGGCCACAGTAGAAAATGAAACTCATATGCGGCGTGCTAGAAGCATTTCGGATTATTATTATTACCGTTACTGGTGAACTACTATACAACTAGTGACTCGTATGATATCATTATCAAAGGATGGGTATTTAACTGGAGCTTTTGCATTATAGCCTATCTTTTCACAGCAGGGTAGCTACATATAAAGGGTGTTTCGCGTGATAACTACTCTAGTGAATAATGCTATGGAGCAACGTATCGAAGAAGACCCGAATGAGTCAATCCGCCATTGCGCAGACATTTTAAGTTGTTTTCTTCCACTTTATTGAAGATTTTGCGGAGGGATCTTGGTTTGCTGATCCGCAAAATCTAACTCATGCAAAAATTGCAATCGCGCGCCCATAATGTGCTTCGGACGTTCGATTAATGGGCCTTAAAAACAAGATGGCCACCGATCCTGATTTTCCCAAGCAAATTTTGTTAGCTATGAAGCCCACTTTCGGTTGAATGGGTATGTCAATAAAGGAAATGTCCCATTTGGAGGAATGATAATCTAAATGTCATTGTTGAGGCGCCGTTGTATACTCAAAAACTCTCTTATAGGTGTACTCTATCGGCAGATATTGGTTAATATTTTTGCAAATTAAGGCCGGCTTAATGTCAATGTGGAGAACGCTATGGAACCATTACTAATGACATCTTTGTGCCTGAGTTAGATGATGTTGATATGAAGGACCTGGAACTACGGGCAAGACCAGATAAGACTTGCCATTCAAGCGAGCAAAAAAAAAACAATTTAGTGAAGAAAACGTTTGAAGAGCGCATCCTGGACCTGTGGCGTGGTCTCTCAAATCCAAGCGATTTAACGCTGCAGGGCTTTTTTTCGTAAGCCAGAGACGATACACGCCTTATAAGAGCATATTTGGCACCGTATTGCTGAATTACGGCCCTAATTGCTGCTCGAAAGTCGTGCCTCTAAGCTGGAATTTATCCGAACCTGCAGCGGAGGGCAAGTACATGAAATCATTTTTAATATATAAAGGCGAGCCCTTTTCTTTTTCATTATAGTATAATTCTTGGTTATTATCGTAAATTTATGCGTTTTCTAAAAAAAAACCCTTTATTCATACGTAATATGTACGTATTCGTACAAAGGAGGCTGCACTTGTAGAAAAGCAACATTTAAATACAATTTTCGTGTAATTTAACATCTGAGCTATGCTGCCATTTACAAAAAACAACAAAACTATATACAAATATATTTACATATGTAAAGCATACATACACATATATAAGTAGCATCAACATCTACTTACATACTTCATCAACTTCACTACCAAAAAGTTACTGAAACATGCTTGTACCACTGGTATGTGGTATATATGTATATATGCGAGTATGTATGTTTACTGCTTATGCATGCAGTTGTGCAATGCAACAATGTTTGCTTTTAACCACCAAAGCGTAGAGTCGTCTAAGGAAATGCCCGCGCCATCTTAGCTTGTGCTACATCTTTTACTATCGTGGAATATCAGCCCCCCAACGACATATATGCATTTATGTGTAAATATATATACATATTCCTAGCACATTTCTATCATATTTATTTCTTCAAACAGTCCTTATTCTACTCATTCTTCTCATTCATCATCATCATCATCAACATCATCATTAGGTTTAGGGAAGCTCGTTGATTTTCTTGAGAAGTTATTTATATATATGTATGTATGTATGTATGTATGTATGTATGTATGTATGTATGTATGTATGTATGTATGTATGAATGTATGAATGTATGAAAATGGCTGGGTTGTGTGCGTGTCTGACGTAGCAATAAAGGAGTAATTTTGTTGTAGTTAGCGCCTGAAGCTCACACAAAAGGCAAAAATTACTTTTAAGTGGATTTTCTCATTAAGTTCAATTAGAAATCTTGGTTTCTGTATGATAACAGTGAAATTGTAGAAATTATGTGTGTAAAGGAAATGCCACAATTTCATACTGTATATATATACATACACTGGGTTTTTTTGTTCGACCTCATCCACATGAAACTTCAATTGTTTTGGTCTAATTTTATAAAAAAAATTGTTTATTGATTGCCTCAAAATTTTTCTATATTTTTTCATGGTTCCTGACAAGGTTTATACGAGAAAATATCGAGCAGGCACTGACCTATTCAAAGAAATTTATTTATGGTTCCATTTACGTGAAATTCGGTTCATACGTGACTTTTTGCGAAGATTAAGAGGAGGACTACTCTCCGGGAATTGGACCAGAGACTGACCTATTCTTCTAATAATTCGAGGTATTCATATGAATACTTCGTGGAAGACTTTGAACAACCAACGAGATAGATCAATCTCCACATATGAATTATCCTTTTATCTCGAGAAGTCAGCAACCGACTGAAATTTTTTTACAACAACATTGTCTGTTATTTCTCGAGCAACACCAGCTACGAGATGAACGAATACTCAGTTTAGTAGGGACATGTCCAAACCCTGAAATTAAACACCAGTATTCTTATCAACGGCAAAATGTCCACCGATCAAACTTCCGAACGGATATTATTGTCGTACAACTTCTGTAACTTAGTGATG